ATCGCCAACAACGACAAGCGGAAGCTGTCAAACGAAGTGCGCCGCGCCATCTACGAGGAGCTCTTGTCGCGCAGCAGCGACCGCATACTACCTCATGGATCCTACACTGATGTCGCACGGATGTTCAATTGCTACTGGCGTACGGTGGAGCGCGTGTGGACGCGCGGACTCCTCTCTGTGCTCGATGGCGATCGCGTCGCCAACGTTGACTCGAAATTCAAAGGTATTCCTCTCAAAACACATACAAATATTGATTTGCACAATTATCGATTCTAACAATTGTACTTTTTAAGGAAATTCGGGAGGGAAACGTCGCCACCTTCCCGCCGACATCGAGCGTGCCGTCAAGGCTGTCACTCTTCACGGACGGCAACTTGCGGTCCCTGGCGGCGCAATCGGGTGTGCCCAAGACGACGCTCGTACGCCATATGGCTGAAGAAGGAAGGCTCAAGTCCAAGTCCAGCTACTCCAAGCCCTACCACACCGACCGAAGAAAACAAGCGAGCGCGTATGGAACACGCAATATCTTTTCGTTCGCAGTCGTCGAATAGAGCTATTTTTTCCAACATGCACCAAACAGTGCATGTTGATGAAAAATGGTTCTATTTAACGACTGTTAAGAAAAGATATTATGCGTACGACGATAAAGTTGTGCCGAGTCGTCAACTCAAGTCCAAGAGGTTTATCACGAAGGTCATGTTTTTGGCGGCCGTGACGCGGCCCCGTTACGACTTTAACAAGATGTGTATGTTTGACGGTAAATTGGGTGTGTGGTCGTTCATAACCCAGGAGACTGCGAAGCGTTCAAGTAAAAATCGTCCCAAGGGTACAATAGTCATTGTTCCACAAACGGTTACTGCGGAAGTTTACCGGGACATGGTGCTTCCTGAATAGGTTTGGGTGTAATTTGGAAATTTGGCGGTCTAAAACCAAATATCCGAATATTTGCACTTCAGACACTACAGTGAAGGAGGATTTTAAGCCTCACTCGAAGTTGAGTAGGTATCTCAAGATATAATAGGCTAGCAAACTTCGAAATACGATAAATATTCTGACCAATAGCTTTTCCATAGGGCAAGAATTGTCAAATTAAGGTTTCGGGTTTTTCGGTACTGTCTCCATACGTCGCCGTCCATCCATGCCTTCGCCTGCATGACGTAGAAGTGTCCTGATGGATAGGTCGGTACCTCATGCGTGTCGATGCGGCCGCCAGGCCGAACAGGATTGGCAGTTTGGCTCCATCGCGACGTATCGTCAACACGGCGATCATGCGGTACGAGTGTTTTTCGCCCTTGAACAGCTTGGGTGTGCCCCTTTCTTGGACCAGATGTACCTTGGTGGCATGTCATACTAAATTCCTGTCTCATCAATATTGTAGACACAGTCGTCGGCCATGGTGGCATACTTGGCATGGAAACTGGCAGCGAACTCGGCGCGAGGGCTCTCAAGGTCGGTGATCGTTCTCTTGGTGGTACATTCTTGTTGATGCGTGTATCCATGTCGGCCGCAGAAGCGTCGGAGAAGCTTCAAGAGGTTGTCGTATCCGCTACTCAACTTTTGACGTCGAATGTAGCCAGGTGTTATGGTGCTGCTTGAGGAAATTGACCATGTGGGTACATGTTAGGTCGTGTTATTGGTGACGACGGGCATCCATGAATTGCAAAAGGGCGTCGGGCTCGGGTTGTACTGGCGGGCGGCCTGGTCCGCGCAAGTTGGTCGACTGTTGTTGCCCTCGAATTTATCGATCTTCTCTGAAACGTGTTTCCAGTTGCGCACCACGCTGTACGAGACCGAGAGGTCATCTGCCACCTTGCGGATGGACTTAAGTACTTATGCTGTAACAGCGCGATACCTCGTTTCTTTAACGGCATTGGATACACATGTCGGCGACCTCCTTGGGACGTGTAGGGGGTGTCGAGCTCCATGGTGTTCAAAATTTGGAATGCTTTGACCTCTCCGAATCATGCTCTCGCGGGCTTTCAATATTTCTTTGCGCGCGCATTTATTTTATAGCCAATGAGGCGGCTATAATTCATCCCTTCTATATTATTGGCCATTAATCACGTTTGTAACAACGAGTGTGGCTTAAAATTCGTCTTTCAATGTATCTAATCATCCTGAACAGTACTACGTACTACGTAGTAGTATTTCAGATAGAAATAGCTCGAAATTGTGAATAGCATAGTTTCTGCTCCAGACATGAATCACTAATTTTGGGCCTGCTGTACTACACCATTTTGCGTTCAATTTCAGCTTTTTTTTCAAAATATTTCCACTAACACATTATATTTCACGCCAAATTGAAATTTGGTCATTAATTATATTTCACCCAACCTCCGATATAATTTACCCTAACGTAGATGGCCTGCATTCTACGTCGAGGTGTCTTTCAAGTGCACCAAAATTTTGACATTTACGTTACCAACGTTTAATTTCACCTTTCGAAAATATATTTCACCTGGCCACCGGTATATTTCATGAAAAGTAAATTAAAACCAACCCACGTAACATATCTACGACATGTACGGCTCAAGCACCAAAATCCATGTCTTCCATATTCTCAGCACGGACTTAAAACGGCTCAAGGCGGGCTGTGTACACATGCAAATGATTCGGGTCAATTTCTAATTCATTGTTGAGTTAACTGTAAGTACGATATAAATGCACTGAATACCTGCAATTGCCTTGTCAGCTGTGTGTTACAAGTTTTGCATGCAAAACACATTACGAGTGTGTCCGTCTGGCGGTGGCCCCATAAAGGCCGCGACTCGTTCGCGCAAAGATGTCTTAATGCGGCTCTTCAACCCGGCCACATATTCTCGATCGGGTTCAGCATCGGGGAGTACGGCCCTAGTTTTACGAACGAAGCGTCTTGAAAGGTCATATTAGCGGTCAACAGATAGACGTACCGGGGTTTGTGGTGCAGGGATGGCCTCTTCCATAGAGCGCAGATTCAAGAATGGTGAAAGCGCGCGGAACTCTTCGCTCGCTTCGATCTTTCTAGAATCCCAGCTCGAATTATAACAACTGTTAGGTGAATTCTATTTTCGAAAGTTGGAATAACCGTAGGTTGGGTGAATTGTAACAGAGGTTGGGTGAAATATATCGCCGATAAAGTATTTTGTATCGGCGTGAAATATAATGGAGGTTGGGTGAAATATATTGGTGATTCGGCGAAATATATCGGACCAAAAAGCACGCGTGAAAACCCTACAACCCAACAGCCCAACTCCCCGATTTGAGCTTTGTCACGGACGAAAAGCCATTGCTTTGGATGCCGTAGTGATCAGCTTGGAGCAGGCACCCACACAAGGGATTAAGACGAACACTTTCTTGCATGCGCCAATCGCAGTAAAGCTATCCGTTTAACATTATCCGGTCGTTCGGACAACACCCAAAAGATTATATAGTACGATGTGGGCAGGTCACTCGTCGTCGCCGGTCGTTTTGTATGGGCAGCCCATGCCTTGGTCCGGCTGCGGTGACCTCTCTTCGGCTTATTTAAGCCACATCCGTGGTCCAGAGCCTGTGGGATCATGAGCCAAGACAGCTGCCGCGTTAATTGCTGAGAGTGCGTCGAGTTGGGCTAGTCGACGCCCCATACAATTCAACGACTCGTGTCACTTTCGGTGTGCGGAAACTGCCAAGTACTTATGCGTGACCCGCCACCACCAGCTTGGACTAACGAGCCGCCGGACCTGCGCAGCGTTGTTCCGAGTGGTATCTCCCTACAATAACCAAGGCAGCGACGTACTTCACGCCACAGACGACGTGTTTTTTAGGCTGGCGACGCCACTTGTGGTCAGTGGCTGTGGCTAACGGGCTTCAAAATTGGAACCATCTCGGTTTCGTCCGCCGTCGCCCCGCTGGGTTGAGCCTCCATCACGTGGCAGCACCACCGCACAACGCGATTTCCGAGATCCACCAATCGCTGGTCGTGCGTGGACTGGTGTACAACATATGGTGCCTGCCTGTTCTGCAGCGTGCAGAGCAATTGGGTCGCGCGTTAGTTTGACCCATTGCAAACACACACACTCTGTGTGTGTGGCGTGTCAGAGGTTCCGATACCTTAGTGGAGGTACTGAGTACTTTAGTGAATGGTAGACAGTAGGCGCCTCGTGGCGTGTTTAACCTCACTAATATCAGTGTGTATATTTGCTGCCTTGACGAAGGTCCCGTGGCCGAAAGCCAAGAAGAAGCGGGAGACAATACAAAGATATCTTTAGTTCATTGTTGAGCTATTTACTGTGGTACGAGAAGATTCCTACGACGAGGAAATGCCAACGAACGCCGAAGAACGATTGCGGTCGCATGACCGGTTCGAGGAGCCGCGAGGACGCGCCGCTCGGCGCACCGTTGAGAACCCGTTCAGATCTCCCCGACGACGACAGCCACCTGCTGTCGACGAGTGGCAACCGCCACGTGGTGGGTTTTACACCCCCGCCACAACCCGAGGAACACCAGCTGTCGCAGCGTTTGTCTCAGCTGCTGCTCCACCAACGACTGAAGCAGATGGCGCTTCAGTGCCGTTGCCAGCCGACAACGACCCGTCGGACGTCCGTGACGATACGGACATGGGCAGTGATGGCGGTTACGGCCGTACGGCGCCGCAAGTTTGGA